ATTCTCTCTTTGCAGTGCTGAATGCCCATTCCCAGCTCAGCCCTGCCGTGCTGCAGCACACACTAAGGTATATAAAATATAAAATACCCAGGGTACCATGAATTCTCTCTTTGCAGTGCTGAATGCCCATTCCCAGCTCAGCCCTGCCATGCTGCAGCAGAGCCGTCCCCCGCAGCCCCCGGCCCTGCTGACCCTGCCTGGAGCTCTGAGCACTCAGCAGCAGCAGCAGCAGCAGCAGCAGCAGAAACTGAGGCTGCAGAGGATCCAGATGGAGAGGGAGCGCATTCGCATGCGGCAGGAGGAGTTGCTGCGGCAGGTAACACCAAAGAGAATCTTAGGGTGTTTTTTTAGTTCAATGCATCCACATTTTTAACAAGTACGGTTAGTAGCTCTGTAAAGACTAACTATGGTTTTACAGAAAGGTAACCAAAAAGCTAATATAAGTAGATAAATTCTTTGTTTTTCCTCTAAACTAGCACTGAACAGAACACAGAATGGCCATTAGTCAGAAGTTACATCTTTCTTAGCAGGCTTTATTAATAGTCATATAGGGGCCAAATGCTGTTCTGTGTCTGTCCATAGTAACTAGGACAACTAACACTGATTCATTTTCAGTTTAGTGTGGTTTGTGTAGAAGACCCTGCTCATACTTCACTGAACATAAAGGCAGACATGGGGAGTCATTCTTGACTCCAGTCCCAGCTCTCTTACTTTGCACCTTTTGCTTATGAGTTAAAACAAAATCACTGTCACATCTTCCATGAATACCTCTGCTCTGAAGACTTGGCAGAGCTGGTCACTTGTAGATCTTTTGCTTAKTGTTCTATTTCTTAAGTTTCAGCTGTATATAATGACTCATATTGTACAAAATAGGTATGCAACTTTCTTTATACTGCCTGAAGAAAGCAAAGTTTTAAGAATTGTGTATCAGGTGTTACAGACAAGTCCGCTTGTTTTGTTTGCATGGCATGTTAATCAGATTGTTTAGAGAAAAAACCCAACCTGTTTCTCTCAGAAACAGCATGAAAGAAATACCCTTCATCAAGAAGCATGTCATTATTTATGGCCTTGCAGATGCTGCAGTTAACAGTTCTTAAACTGTACCCTTAAAAATGGTGACTGTCTCGAGATTGAGGCGTGGTGATCTCTGATGTGGTCTCAGGTCTTTGGTGTTCCTTCTCCTTTAGCACCAGGAGCTCATGGTAGAGATGGGCATGGGAACAGTGGGGATATCTGGTATGATCTTAGTCATCACTGTTACTGTGCTAACAACGTGTTTAGCTGTTTTCACTGTCTGGCTCTTGCTTTTTGAGCATAACCTGAGTAAGGGAAAAGTGCTTAGTAAGGGTGTGCAGTGCTGCCAGCACTGTGAGGAGCTGCAGGGTGTTTAAATGAGAGGGGAAGGATTCTTTGTGGGGTCACAAACCTTTCAGCTGCTGAGTCCCCACAGCCATTCCTGCAGCAGCTGCTGGGGTGGAGCAGCAATGCTCAGCCACAAAGAGGTCACAGCTCTGGAAGCATTTGGCTTAGGGAATTTCTTTCCTTCTTTGTCCTCCTCTTCATGTAGCTGGTAAAACCCTGGAGCTCTGATTACGTGCCACAAGAGTGGCATTTCAGAAATCCAGTATGATGGCTTCTGTTTGAAGGTTTCCTTAGTCACTTCTGTCATTCTATGAAGAGTTAATATTCCTTTATAGTAACTCGGTTTTGCCAGCTTTCCAAAGGAAAAGAGAGAATCTGCTTGCTGCTTAAGAGCTTCTTAGAAGTGGAAGCCAGCAGAGTAATATCAGTGAGAAATCTCTGAAATGTCCTGCTGGGAAGCTACCCCCTGTGTGCACCAGATCCATCCTGCACTGAGTTTGGGAGGATACAAATAGTCCCAAAAAGACAGTGCTTCTCAGAGGCTCCTTTGTGCTCCAGGCAATCCCTTTGTGTAAATTGTCTGCAGAAAGTTACAGGGTCTCAGAAGGCACTGCAGAAGGAGTGGATCTACTGACCACTGTAGGAATGTCAAAGGAGCAGAGGAATCTGACATCTGTAGCAGTACTAAAATTGCAATGTGACTTGTGAACAAATGACCTGCAGCAGAAGAACATGTGTCATTTATGTCATTTGTGCTTCCCCAGCCAAATCTGACTCCAGAGTGCACAGGTCTGCTGTTCCATGTTTTAAAAGTACACGTGGAGTTAATGTTGTGAGCAAAATGCAATGTGATGGAATAAAGAGATGGGAGGTGACGTGCCATTCCCCAGGAGAGAGTAGGTCAAGTAAATATTAGAAATAGTAGGTCAAGTAATATTATAAATAAGGTGTTTTTTGCAAGAGACAGGAAGTTAGATTGTGTAACTGATGGCTTTTCTTTAGGTGCTGCAGCCTTTTGTAGGTGTTGTTTTTATATTTTAAAAAAGTACTGGAAATACCTGCAGGTTGCCATTTTAAAAGACACCTTCCYCTTCTCGGAGGTGTGCACACTTTCACAGACACAAACTGATTAAATTCTACATAGAAAYGTCACCATTAAAATTGTCACTTGTCAAATTTAATCATATACATGGCCTATCGTACATAAGCTATTAAGAATCTTTAAACTGTTCTTAGCACTTGCTAAATACTGACACCATCTAATGTAAGTTATAATTAATTGGTGAATATATTGATAAATTTATTATAAAGGAAATATTGCATTAATGGGCACCGATRTAGTTACACTGTCATGACCAGACCACTCCTCCTCAATGAGAAAAATCAGTTGAAAACACAGTAAAACATAATGTTCTAGCCTCAAAAACCTGTTAATCCTTTCTRTGCTGGGGAGACTGAATGGCTGATTCAGAGGACAAAAGTTTCCTACCAGGATTTAAATGAAATATTTACTTTGCTTGTTTCATTAAAGAAATAAGTTGAGTAAATTATGGTAAAAACAGATACAGCTTTGTTATTTTAAGGTCTCAGGATTTTTGTTGGAACAAGCCTTCTCATGTGTGTCTTTGTTTGCAGGAAGCTGCTCTGTGCAGACAACTTCCCATGGACTCAGAAAGCATGGTCCCAGTTCAGACAGCTGTGAGCAGCCCTGCCATGAGCCAGGACATGAGGGCTGTGACAAACAACGGATCTGATCCCTTCCTGAACAGGCAAGTTCATTCTTCTTCATTGGGCAGTGGCTTCTGCTGCCTTCTCCAGACTCTGAAATAGTCCCTTTATCATTTTCTTTTGTATTGTGGTGTGGCTGAGTGGCTGACTTGAACTCTTTCAGTTTATGCTTCAAGAAAGTCAGAAAAAGCAGTAAATGGTAGCAGTGGTTTTCATTGTGTTGTCGGTGTACGCAGAAACCCAGCTAGAATAGGTACATGACCTAGTTATAAACACGTGCAGTTCTTTAGGCTGTCAGAAATGATTTCAGGCTGAGTTATTTATGCATGTGTGTCTTTCAAAATTTAAGAATGACTTTGTTATTTGGGCTGATGTGACCCAAATCTGATGTTGGCTGATCAGCGGCCTGCAGTTGAGAGTGAGGCTCAGTATCTGCTTTAAAAATGTTGCCTGCTGTGCTCTCTTCCAACACTGTGCTTGGGGACTGTGTCACCAGAGCCTGTTTTAAAAATGTTACCTGCTGTGCTCTCTTCCAACACTGTGCTGGGGACTGTGTCACCAGAGCCTCTTCTCTGAGTGTTTCTCATGTTTCCATTTACAGTGGCCCGTACCATTCCAGGGAGCAGAGTACAGACAGTGGYTTGGGATTGGGATGTTACAGCATCCCAACAACCCCTGAAGATTTCCTCAGCAACGTGGATGAGATGGATACAGGTAGAGTGCTCTGATTCAGCTTCAAATGCAGTCATATCAGTAACTTTGTATTATGACTAGTCATGTTTTATAATTGCATAACTGAATGATAATCTCTGTCTTTCCTTTGAGCACTGCTGGAAAGAGCCTTTTGTGCTTTGCAGATCAAAGTAAGGATGTGAAATGCATTCTTACAAGAACGTGTATTTGGCACCTAAACACAGTTTGGAGATTTTGTGGTGATGTTTGTCCCCCTAAGAAAGGGGCAGTTCTGTTGTTTTAAATTGCCCACCAGAAGGAGTTTGGTACTGAAAACGTTCTTCTTTCCATTTTATTTTTTTTAGGAGAAACTATAGCACAGACATCAATGAACATAAATGCACAGCAAACACGTTTTCCTGATTTCCTCGACTGTCTTCCAGGGACAAATGTTGATCTTGGGACTCTGGAGTCAGAAGACTTGATCCCCATTTTCAACGATGTGGAGTCAGTGCTCAACAAAAACGAGCCCTTCCTCACCTGGCTGTAACCAAGCAGTGCTTTTTGGGCCCACAGTGCAATTCCAGTTTCTTTTTCCTCTTGAGATAGGCACAGAATATCTGAATATTCTCAAGAGATACAATCTGCTGCCTTATTGACTTTTGTAATCTTTAGGGTCAGTTTAATCTCTGTCTGGATTTGATTGATACTAATTTAAAACACGTTATATATTTATATATAAAAATAGATACATTCATATATATTTCTTAAAGAAACCCCACACTACATTTCCATGTACATTTTTACCTTTTCAAACCCAGCTTTTGAAATGCTCCACTTTTTAGGACTTGTGCATGTCCTGGCTGATCTCCTGGGTGCTGATGGACCTCACAGACCCTTTGGGAATCACAAAAGCTCCACTCCTGGGTCACTGGGTTCAGAAAAAGTGCCAAGCATCAGGACGTGAGAGCAGTTTTATTACTGTGTTTGTGACAAAGCTTTTTTTTATCCTTTTACTTAAGCCTTAAAAATATCCTTTAGTCCTTAGTAACTAACTGTTCCATATGGAATACAGGTTAAATCTGATCCATATAAGGTATAATAATTCCCATTATATATTTGTAAAGGCACAAACAATACTATAGCAGGTTTTTTTTTTCAGTATATTTTTCTATATCGTTTGCAGAAAATAATTTCTTTCAAAGTACCAGGATTGTTTAGCAGCATTTTTACACTACAATATTGTTACAAAATAAAACAGGCTGGTACTGACTGTTGCCTTTTAAAAACAAAGCAATGTATTGTAAGCAAGCATTTTTACAATTTCTTGTATTTTTATGTTTATTATATTAAGCACTACAGTTTTGTAACTTAACACATGAACAAGCAATTTTTTTATATCTATAAAATCCATGGCAAGTAAAGTATTCTTTTAAAATCAAGTCTGGAAAGTGTGGCACAACCTGTTGATGTCATACGTGAGGGAACAAAGCCTTCCTCATACTGTTTTCAGTCACGTTTTTAACTGACAATGTCAAAATAAATGTAGTTGTATTTCTGAAAAAAGCCTGTAAGTGTATCAGGGCCCTGCTAAAGCAGCTTTGGGACTCCCCTGTAAAGCTGCTGATTTTTTCTGTCTTTCACTCACTGTAAGAGGTGCACAGGACACGAGGTGCTGTGTGATCCTATCACAGAATATCCCACAAATCTTCCTTMGCAGAGCTTTGGGACGGAGAAGGCTTCAAGGACACCAAGCTTGCAGTTCCCCTGAAATGCAAATGAAGTCCTGAAAATGTTTTAATGCTTAGAAATAATTTTATTTGCAATTAATGGTTTTAAGCATTTTGTATTGAAAAACAGGTCTTTTAATGAAAGGCATTAAAATGTTTCTCTCAGCCTAATCCAGGCTGTTGAAAAGAGAAGAAGAGCTGTAAACGTGTTTTTGCCAGGTCTGATAACACTTCACAAGATGTGACTGATGTGCCAAATATTGACCACTACAGACTCTTTTCCTTCYGTTTGGGTGAAGGGAGGTGAAGAGGTCAGAGATGAAGTGCTGGGAATGCAGAGTAGGTTTAGAAGAGAGGTAATGAGTGTGGATCCTTGCTGGGAAGGGGAGCTGCAAACAGAGATACAGCAAAGGAATCTCCAGTGAAAAACACAGCAGGAGAATTCAACAACCAGTAAATGAGCGCGATGAGCTGCTGAGTGCAGGTGATGTCACAAGATGGAAGAGAAAAAGCACACACTGACATTTGGAAAGAGGAGATAGAAGGCAAAGGCCTGCAGTTGTGAAGTTCTATTACGTAGGTAAAAGTAGCTTTTTTTTTGTTGTTTTTTATAAAGAAAGATGTGAGCAGAGTCGTGTCTGCAGAGAATTTTATTGCTGAATGGGCATTGTGTTCTTTTTATTCTTTCGAGGGATTGGGGCAGGAGTTATTTTTGCTCGTTTTGCTGACTGTTGAGACAGCACAAACTTCTTTCCAATAGACAGGGAACTGGGCAAGGCTGACCAATATTACTGGAATTAGGTTTAATCTCTCACTTTGAAGCATTTCTTCAGGTTGTTCGGCCTAAATGAAAAGCAGGAGCTCAAGCTTTGTTCTTTAGTGCCATGACTGATGTTGGTGGAACAAGAACTGGAGATTTTCTGGCCAGCCTGCAGTGCCTGGTGCTGCAATGAGCCCCAGCAGCTCTGGATTTGAGTTACTGCAGTGATCCAGGTGCCAGTGCCATCAGCACACTGCCTTTAGAGAATGTGSTTTGTTCATTTGCAGGGAATTTGTACCGTTGAAATGTCAGTTTGTCCTGACAGAAGATTTTCTGTGAGTTGGTGTGGCTGATTCCTGCCCGGCCACATGCATTGTTGTCCCTCTGTATAGGGAAAACTTTCTGTTGAAATCACATCAGGTATTGATCAGAATGGTGAAGCTGCAAGCTTGATTCTCTCTTTCATTTGTGTTTCTGGTGGTTGAGTGTCTCGGTGCAGAGACTTTAAAACGGTGAAGCAATCATTCATGTGCTCATTCAATCAATCATGAGCTGTGTGTCAGTGTTACTTCCACAGTGAAGCAGATGTGGAACAGGAGGGTGCTGTGCACAGCAGCACTAAACAGTCACAGAATCATGGCTTAGCTCTTTACTCAGTGGTGAAGCAAATCCCTGTTTAACTAAAAGTGAGTGTTTACACTGTCAGCTTTTCATTTTTGTTATGAAGAGGATGTGTCAGATGAAGCGTGATTCAATAGATCTGTTTTTCAAAGTTCTCTTTTTAAAAAGTTTCTGGCTTTAAACAGGCTTGTGGCAGAACATTTTAGTGTTCAAAGCATACGGAATATGAAAAAAGAATCCATTGCTGGCAATATTTCACTGTACTATTTCAGGTTTTGAGCATTTACTGTGCTGAATTGTCCACTTGTGGTATAAACACAGCCGATGTGGCAGCGGGACMGTGTGGCTGTGACCATCCCTGAGGGGCACAGGAAACTCTGGGACATTGGTCATGACAGTTCGTATTCTGGTAATACTTCAGAATGTAACCTGGGGTGGGATCGGGTTTGACCTTGCCACAACAAATGCTGTTTGGGGGAAGGGAAGGATTTAAATGTATATTTTAATTACAGAAAAATATGGGTGGTTGTCCAAATAAACTTGTTTCCTAATACATACATCTGTGTACGTGCTACTTCTTCAACCATTCTATTTTTTCATTTTGTTATATGACACGTGAGCATTCKTTTCAATTTTTAATACCTTGCAGTAGATTTTATCTGAACAATCARATCCAACTGTTGTATCCAGGATTCGATTCTGGCTTTTTTTGTGGGTTTCAATCAAACAGAAGAGCCAAGTGTATTCCTTCTGACCCTGTTTGAACAAATGTTTGCTAATTCCTGGTTTCGGTGGCAGTGTGGCCGTACCACTGTCCCAGACAGAGCTGCAAGAGCCGCCCCACGGATGGGGCCCTCTGAGTCTGTAATGTCAGCTCTGAGTTTGTGATGTCAGCTCTGAGTTTGTAATGTCAGCTCTGAGTCTGTGATGTCAGCTCTGAGTCTGTAATGTCAGCTCTGAGTTTGTAATGTCAGCTCTGAGTTTGTGATGTCAGCTCTGAGTTTGTAATGTCAGCTCTGAGTCTGTGATGTCAGCTCTGAGTTTGTGATGTCAGCTCTGAGTCTGT